ATGTGCACAAAGAGGTCTTTTTAAGAATATTCATGGAAATTTTGTCATAAAAAAATCTGAAGCAACCCAAGTGTCTATGAACAGGAGAAGGGATAAATAAGTTGTCATGTATTCATAAACAATCATTAAAATAAGTGAGTTATACCTACAAATTTCCAAGTGGATAAATCTCAAAAACATCATGTTCAGTGGAAAAAAAAATCTCCTAATCATAACACAGTGTGAGACTTTTAAAATAAAGTTTAAAAACTTATAATATAACTTTATAGATAAGAATATGTAAGATATAAGAATTTTTGCATGGAAAGCACCAAATTCAATATAGTGGTTAACTTTAAGAGGGATGGAAGAAGAAGAGTGGAATTAGGAGTGGGATATATAATGGACTTCAATTGAAAAGAAATAGCTTTTTTTCCCTAAAAAAAAGATTTGAAAGAAATAGGGAAAAATATTAAGATTTGACAACACTGGGTGTAAACATCAATACTTATCAGTCTGTTCTCTTTTTTTGCATACTTATAATAATAGGAAAAGAAAATATACCTATTAAAACATACTTGTGGCTAGTTGGATTTAAAAGAAAACACAATTTAAGCTACTAGTGATGTGGCTATATAAAACTACATCTTGATGCTTGTTTTTGTGTTCACATAGGAAAAATATCTAGATTTGGGTTTTGAGACTAAGTAGCAACAATGATAATAAATAATCATGAAAACAATTAAGGTGACACATCTTGAAAAGTGTTTCTTACTCCTACATCCTGGAAGTGTAAAGCTTTATTTTTCCTTTAGGCAGATTTTTATCTTACCAAATGCCCATTTAGGTACTTAATTGTGTATTGTCTTTTATTTTCATTTAAACGTTTCCTGTACTTACCTTCCCAACTAAACTGAATGAGAGCCCTCATCATCCAGCTTTTAGTCTGTAATTTTTCCTGTCAACAGCCTACTGCTTTCATACTCAATAAATACATTTTGAGGGCATGAATAAATAAATAATCATAATTTTAATGCATCAGTTTTCTTTGTATAAGAAACCTAGACCCTCCTCTGAGCAGGATAGAATTATTGACCTACTAAAGAATTTTCTGTAGGGAGTAGGACATAATAGTTATTCCTTTCTCAATATGCAAGTGTCCCACTTTGCATGGCACTACAACAAATAAACTAATAAATATGATTCTTCATTCTCCAGTTTATGAAAATGCACACTTCAGTCCTTTCTAGACAAGGCAGCTGGCTTCCCATCCCCTCCCAGCATAATGTGACATGGTTCCTACCAGGCTGTCTGACATCGTGGGCCACTCTTATCCAGAAAACACACATCTTGCTTCTCCTCTATCCTACTTTGATTGACACTTGTATTTCTCAAAGGCAAAAATCAAAATTTTAATATTCAGACCTGAACACTCACTGAATTTTCAATGATAACAAGAAAAATTAAAGGATACAGGCAAATTTTCAGCAATGTGGATGAAAGCAATTTTTATTTTTCTCTAATACTGAATCTGGCTTTGAGGTTCTCTATTTCTAGCGGTTATAAAGCCAAGCCTTTGTAGTGTGTGTGAGTTCACCCCCCTCTTTTTTTGATGTGAGTTGGCATCTCTCATGAAAAGATAAAGGCATCAATTAACTATACTACCAAACCTCAAGGATAAAAGCTATTGTTGTGAACAGGAGTTAGGCACGCACATGGTATCAAGTAAGGGTCTGGAAACAGACATGCTGCCAAGGAAAACAGATGTCTGTCTCCTTTAAGGAGATCGAATCATGGGTATATTAGTGATTGCTAATCTCCTGATGGATTTAACAATGATGGTATTGATGAGCTAGTTTGGGATGAGTGCAATCCATTACCATTGTTACAATAAAATTTAAAAACATTTGACTCAATCAGCTAGCAACAAATGACAATAATACAATAGCAAAGGAACCATCCTAAAAGAGAAAAGGATACATCGAATCCAGAAATGACAAAGGGTCAGACAGGCTCTGCTGTAAAGGCAAAAGTCCAGATGTGGGTAGAAGAGGAATTCCCCCATGTAACAATGAGTAATAAGGGCTAACTCACAATCATAGGATGCATGAGACAATGATGAATTGTATACTACAAGCCTATAGAAGACAATCAACATGGTCACTTTCTTGCTAGTGGAATTTACTAGCAAAATTTGAACTGAAAGAAAATTCGGCTTGAGGTTTTGCACACTGTTTTTCCTGTTTTCCTGACATGGTTATAAATAAGAAAAAGTGCAGATGTTCAGATTCTCTTCTCTGTCGCATGATCCCTGTTTCATCCTTTTATTAGGTTGCTCTTATTGTTCCTTTTATGTTGTTGTGATGTTGTGTTTAAGCTCCCCTGCACATGCTCTCCTCAGAACCTTTTCTTTTCTTTCTTTCTTTTCTCTATCTCTCTTTCTTTCAACTGCATTTGTCATTTCTCAGGATTCTTAGCAGAAGGGGGAGAGGAAAGTTAGACAGAGATCATGAACCAGAATCAAAGGGAGTATAGTGAAGTAAAGAATGTGTCTAAAAAATACAATGAAAAATGTCCTGGCAAAGCTCAGCTCACTCTTTCTGTCTCCTTAGAGGCCAGTTCAGTTTTTGTTTACATTCACACTAGGGGGCATATTCAGAAATAGGTCAACTGAAAGGTTAAATAACTCCAGCATGACCAGGCCAGTCATGAGAACATGGAAAAAGTTCTGAAGTCAATCTAGAAGTTCAGGTTCGCTTTTGTGGAGCAGAGGCACTAATTTAATAAGTAATACCTGATATCAATACAAGACGAGACTCAAGGTTTGGCTTGCTTCAGAGTTGAAATCCCTGTTGTCCTTTCCCAGGGATTTGCAGAATGGACATACAAAGGGTTTCTTGGTTCAGCAAGAGACTGCAAAGTTATTTGAACTGCAATGAACTTTGTTGTGTTTTTCCTTTCTGTGTGTCAGTTCCTCTGGTAAAGCACTGTTAACTATGCATTTGACTCTAAGCTCTTTTTGCTTTTTAAACTCAATAGACTGATTCTCCTTTAGGTCTTAAGAGATTTGCAGTTCCTATTAGCAGTTAGGAAAAATGATGTCCAAGCTCCTGGCCTTCACTGCCCGTGCTCTGAGGCCATGTCTACAAGATATCAAACACCTAGATGTTTCCAGATTTTAGATATTGGTTTGCCTGATGCCAAACATGTGGATAGTTGAAAACATCAGGATGTTTGGCATCAAGTAGACAAAACATCTGGATGGCTGCTTGAGTTTTTCACTTTTTAACTGGATGTTTGGTGTCATGTAGACACAAGCTGAGGTTCTGACTTCATCCTGTAACAGCCCCCAGGCTGCCAGGCTGGCTCCAGATTCCCTTTATTGCAACTGACATTTTTACAAGAAAACTTTGCATTCTGTGTGATGCCTGTTGCTCTTATGCTCAGAAACAGATTGGTTTCTCAGAAAAAAAACAAAAAACAACAAAAAAAAAACACATCCCAAACCGACCCCCAAAGGCCTCAGGCTTAAGCACAGGTTTGAAAAGCTGGAGAATTTCAGAATCACTACCATCTTTGTGAGCAAAATCACAATACAACCTTAGTAAGAGGGGGGGTGGCTGGAGAGAGAAGAAGGCCTCCAGAGTGGTAAAATTGCCAGATCCATTCTAACAACCCTCAATTTGGCTCACTGCCAATTTCAGCCAAGGAATATTGTTTGCATGCTGGCAAAGCTGGTGTTTCTTATACCACTGGATGTAGATTAATGATGAATGGTCAAATATTCCATAAGAGACACCAGTGATTCTACAAATAAAACAGTTGAAATGGTTTAGAAAACACCATCTCCTCCAGAATTCTTGAGGAAATGAGACTGAACAAATAAGATGCCGCATTTGAAAAAGGGTTTCACAATCAAAATGAAAGCTTATGCACTCCCCCACCTTGGAACCATTGTGCTAATGATGAAAGTAAATTACCAACAACTATTTATTGACCACCTTCCATGTGCCTAGCTGTCATGAACTGTCTGACTTCACACCCTTTCTCATCCCTGCTCTTGCCAAGTGTGCTTATTAGCTCCTCTGATGATCTAATACCTGCCCACTCACTGTGAACAGCCCTGCTGCAAAGCACAGAAGAATCCCTGGCCTCAGAACGCTGTTGGAACAGGTTCAAGCTACACTCTTCCCTCTTATTCCTCCATGCCTGCCATACAAGAGCCCTTGCCTGGATCTTGCTCCTTGACACCTCAACACTTGGCCTGTATTCTTTGTCTCCATTTGAGTCCCTCATCATGCATTTGTTGTTAGTCCTGGAAACAAGATTCTTTATCTCGGGGCTTCAATCTCCCCAACCCTGGATGATGCTTATTAGCTGTTGGAATGACAGGATTTGCTTCCTGCTCTGATAGCAACCACTTGTTGAGCATAGGATACAGCACTGAGCTGATCATTTTAATATACTATCTTATTTAATCCTCACATGAGGTTGGTATTATAAACTGTTTTGCAGAGTAGAAACTGAGATTTGGAACAGCTTAACAAATTGCCCAAACTCACAAAATGGAAACTAACAGAGGCAGAACCAGAATTCAAACCCAGGACTGACTCCAAAGCCTAGACAGTAACCACTAGTCAGTACTGACTGCGTTTGTCTCCCTTGCTTGTCTGGCCCAGAGTAGGTCTCCACCCTTGGCACTTTGACTTTTCCTTACTTGAACCGACTTTGCGTGACCCTGTGTGTGACATTAATTTACTCTTTCGTTTACTGTATAACATAGCTTGAGTGCCTGCTCTGTGGCAGGCATTGTGTTCTCACCCCAAGCTGAGGCAGATGGACTGATGGAAGGGCAGCAAGCAGCCTCAATTCACCATCTGGAGGGACTTAAAATTGAGTTCTGCTCCCCAAACCTGGAACTCAGTGGCTGAGTTGTAACTCCCAAGCTTCTACATGCCATCTGCAGCCTCCTTTGTAGCCTGAGAGGTATGGACTCTGGAGCCTCTGATGCCGAGGATTACCTGAATCTTATGTGATCTTGCCGCACGTGAATTTACATTGAGATTGGGACCACCAAGCTGCTCCATTCAGAATCATTCACCGTAGTCTGGTCAATTTGCCTTAGACCTTGTTCAATGCTGGCAATTTTCTTGGAAACATAGAGGTATAAAGAAAATGTAATCTCTCTTAGCATAGGGATCATATGTGTAAGTAAAATGCCCAAAAAATATTTACTGAAGGAATTAAAACAAAGTTAAAATAAAAACTGGTGCCAGCAACCAAGTAGCGCAGATATTCATAGATATCAGTCACTCAATAACCACCTACTGATGTGAATTTGTTTGAATTGACTTGAACTACATCTGAGGAGATAAGATTTATAGATATGAAACAATTAAACAGCAATGTGAGATAGCACACAGTAAAACACCATTTGATATTTATTGCCCTGTGGATGGAGGAGACTGCCCTAGGGATCAAAGTTGTCAGCAAAATTTTATAGAAGATGATGGACTTGAAATAGACTTTGAGTCATTAATGCATTTCATGTTTTTCCAAAAGAGTTTTCCAAATAATTCTATAGTAGATATATCAACCTCATTTTATCAAAGAAAGTTAAAGAAGTTGAGAGATTAAAGGGTATTCAGAAATGAAATAGTATTTTTGTCCAAATTTGGCAAATATTGATTGCCTACCACATGCCATGCTTTGTTGCCAAAAATTAGGCATATGAAATGGGCAAGAAAGGCATGGCATCCTCTTGGGGCAGCATGGTGATTTACAGTCTGGGCTATAAATAAGAAATCAAAGGACAATGTGGTAAGTTCTAAAAAGGAATTATGTAACAAGTGCTAGGAACCCTATGAATGAATGATATCACCTGCCTTTTTGGTCATGGCTGGGGTGAGAAGACACTGGTAAGGACATATTGTAGGACCTCAGTCTTTAAAAAGGACCTTTATTTCACTGTGCTGGGCAGAGAAAGTATTAGAGAGGAAATTGCAGGAGCAATGGTTTCTATTGGCAAAGAATGTGGCATAAGTTGAGGCTGGCCAGAATGGGCTATGAAGTGCCATCAGCACCTTGCCAAGGCAGCTTAAGAATGGGCTATGAAGTGCCATCAGCACCTTGCCAAGGCAGCTACAGAGTGACTTCTGATGCTTTGTGCCATGTTGTACTTCTAGACTATGGATTCTAGCAGCTCTTTGCCTCCACTTTTCTTCTCCTCTCCTCCTTAGCATCGCCCCTGCACAGTCTCTACTCAGCTCTCACTGCCTTTGATTCATTCAGGTTCAGGGACCAGCTCTAGCTGTGTTCAAATGTTGGGCTCCAGTTCCTATTAGCACTGCACAGGGATGCCTGTGACCTCAGCCCCCCTGATTCTTTGCCTTTAGTTGGATTCTGCCTTTGTTTTCATGGGGGGAAATCTAAAAGAAGGATGGCCCATGATGCTCTCTCACAGTCAGAATAATTGGCTTTGCACATCCCTAACAAAGTCCAGAAAAGTTCAAAGCATTTCACTGCATATAAGGGACAGAGCAGAATATGGCTCTCCCCAACATAGCATTTATTTCTGGCTTCTGGCTCCAGAAACATTTAGTTTTAAAGATGGAAAAGGATCAAAGCCAAGCATGTAAGTTATACCTCATATTCTACAGAGTTGCAAATGTGATTCTTTCCTCCAAAATATTAGGTAATTACACTCTCCATTTTGGCTTGGCAATTTTTTAAAATGATTTCTTTTAGAAGTCAGAGTCGCCTGGCAGAAAGCATTTAAAACTTCACTAATTCACAGAGGGGATCATCCTTCCCCTTGGCCCTATGCCAACATGCTCTAAGAATCAGGGTGTTTCTTTTCCAGGAGTGGGCTCCAGTCTGGAGATTTGCATGGCCCATTAAACCATCTCTGTGTCCTGTTGAACCTTCCTGCTATGTGCCCAGAGCCCTCCACATGATCATGAAGCTGATGGAATTCCCTGGCAGGAAAGAGAGAGCCTAAACTAAGCTCCACACATCAGGGTTTCACCACTCTGTAGCATTTTAAAGGAAATGGTACATATTAGGGACCAAATCAGGACTTCTGCTTAACTCTTTGAAGGCCAGATTGTCTGCCATACGGTATACAAAGCCTGTCCCAGTGCTAGCTGAGTTTACAAAATGGCACTCTGCCCTCATGGATTGTTAGTAAAAAACAACCACAACACCTTTTTCTTTTGTACTCACTTCATTGATTGTTTTCATCTTTCCAAAAATAATTTATTTTTAATTTTAAGTTAAATTAAACAATTTAATTTTTAGTCTTCCAAATTTCAGATGGCACAGCCAGATTTCACTCGAGGTTCTTCTAGTCTTACTTGGTTTCCTGCCCAGTGCTTCTCAAACTTCAGTGCATATAAATCACTTAGGTGTTTTGTTAAAGAACAACTTGTAATTCAGGAGGTTGGAATGGACCTCAGATTCTGTATTTCTAACACACTGTCAAGAAATAATGATGCTGCAGGTCCATGGATTGCACTGGGGGTAGCATGATCACAGAATATTGAGCTCCTTCTATGGACCAGGCATTGGGTGAGGTGGTGAGGATACAAGGGGATGAGAACAGAGGTGCCCCTTACATTCTTATAACTAGTGTATGATCCCAACCAGCTAATCAGTAAGAATTGGGAAGTGGCCTAAAGTTGTACTTGTTCATCTAATTTTATGTATAGACTGTTGATTTATACAGAGTCTTCTAACTTTCTAGGAAATGTAAACTGGTTATTATTAACTTTGATTTCCCAGCAAGACATGTTACCTTTGGGGTAAGTGAAACACATAATGATTTATTCCTAGAGGTGAATGCTCCCCAATCTTTTTCATTTCATGACATGATAGAAAATCATGTTGGTGTGTCATCCTGGAGGAAGCTGCTTATCCCTGGCAGTGGCTGCTGGCCAATGAAAAGCAACTGGCTCAACGGTGCCCCGTGGAGATCAAAACCTCAGCATGACAGTAACCTGTAGGCTCAGCCTCTGCTTGGCAAGCTCTGTTTTCTGCTATAGTTCCTTAGCTTCAGAAATTCATCTCTAAAATATAAATACCATGGGAAGAGTAACACCAAAATCACTACCAGCTAAGAGTTGGGGATTAATTGTGGAATAACCCAGATACAAGAAGAACTTGGGTACAACCTAGAGCATGCCAAAGAAAAAAGAAGGGTAGGGAGGAAGGCAGTAGAAAAGGGATGGTGCAAAGATACCAAAGGTAGGTTCACCTTCTTAAATTTTTGCCAAAGGCTTGCCTATTTCAGCATTAATCACACTTCCCCCAAATATTTCTCCTTCCTTCAGCATATATTATGAATCTATATGAAGACCAAGTATTAAAAAATGGTTACAAATATGGATAGCAATCTATCTCTGCAAAGACTGTTTTTCTCAGTGAGTTGAAAGGTAATGACTTAAATAAAAAATTTTTTTGAAATGTTTCTATTATGAGGAATTAGCATCCAAACCCATGCAGATGGATAATTCCCTCCTATAACATTTGTTTTCTTTCCTATAGACCAGCAAACATTTTCTGTAAAGGGCCAGATCATAAGTATTTTAAGCTCTGTGGTCCATACAATCTCTATAGCAATTATTCAACTGTGGTAGCATCCATAGACAATATGTAAACAAATGAGCGTGGATGTAGGCCAATAAAACCTTATTTATAAAAACAAGTGGCTGGATTTGGCCTGTGGGCTGTAATCTGTGGACCTTTGTTATGAATGAAATCTTATATGTTAATCAATCTAAAATAAAAGTTAAATGTGAAAAAGAACAGAGTATATCTACTTGCAGGGAATGGTGGATCATTGCAGAGGTATGGAGATAGATTCTTCCCCAACATCAGATGACTTTGGAAAGTGTAGTGCGCCTTGCAAATTGCCTGAATGCGGCATAAATGGGAAGATTAAGACTGAGGTAAGGCAAATGTTCTATAAGATGGTCCTTCTGTGTTAAACTGGCTGATAGATTTGAAACTCCACTATTCTGCTTAAGTTTTTGTTTCTTTTCCCAGAAGTTTATCACCAGTCCTTTGTCATAGCAGTTGTCACATATAAGATGACACTGAGGACCATTAGTCTGCAAAAATACTGCACAGTTGATATAGGTTATCTTTTCACGTTTTATTAAAATTCTTTTGTGACCACATACCAATTTATCATATCCTTGAGCCTATAAAATGATGCTAATTTGGATGTCTGTGGAGTCTGAAATGGGACCATGTAGCTGTTTAAATTGTATTTTCTGAGTTTCTCAAAAGATGCTAGACATAGACTTTAAATATTATAATCTCAAAATACAACAGATAGATAAGTAACTTGTTAGGATTCTAAAACATATGTACACTAAATGTACATATTATTTAAACATTTAGAGGTCAAATTTTTCTTCCTGTGTGGCCCTAACTACATTAACTATTAAACTGCATTTTAAATGTAAATTAAAGGAATCTAAATACAAGCACTTTTGTGTTAATTGTACAAGTAACAATTTACTCAATTATGCATATATTTTTGTTTTGTTTTTACAGGAAGTGGAATCTGTCACCAGATAGAACCCTAGGTAAGACCAGGCTTTCTTGTTTGTAATAAGTGTGTTGTTCACATTATGCCTTTAAACATTTATCCTAAATCAACCCTTTAATCTAGGAGTCTTTGATCCTAGTTCCTTTCTAGAGTCTTCAATACCAGAACTTCCCCCAAGTTATTCTTGTGTAAATCGATATCATGGATATTAGAAGGCAATAAATGAACAATGCCACATCTAGTATTTATAACAACGGGGATTATTAACTTAATTACCTTATCCTTTTGAAATATCTGAAGAAGAATTATGACCTCTGGGACACTAGCAATAGTCACCTAATCTATTTCTGAAGTTATAGCAGCAAAGTCTCCAGCAGGCATCCCTATGTGGTCTGGCTTATTGCAACCACTGTGGTGGCATTTAGTGGTGCTCTGTCTTTGTGGAATTCTAAAGGCAGAGTACTGATTTCAGGAGTTTTGCATTTTATTAACAAGTAAAATTTCAAAATTAAATTTGAGGATCAAAGGGGGAGTGTCAATTTTTTATTTTGTCAAGTAAGGGCAATAAATAAAAATCTTTCATCTATCTTATTTATAAACTCTAAAAAGGAAGGACATTTGAATGCCAAAACTGTAAGTAGGAAATCATCTGAAACTAAAGCACAGATCTTTATGAAAAAATTCCTTACGAAGTCTTTAATTTTTGTTTTCCATTTTAATATAGGTTGGGAAGCAAATACATAAATGATAAAGAAGACAGAGGGAATTAGAATGCCTTAAAGTCTTAAACAAAATTAGGAGGGTTATTTGCTGTGCTTAGATAAAAATCATTTGAAACTATTCCTTCATAGTAAATGAAGTTAAAAGAGTGACTGACTTAAGGATTTTAAAAAAATCTTCCCTTCAATTACTGTAATTCTACGGGATATGTTCCTTCAATAAGATGACTGTCCTGGGAACATCATTTCTGGAGTTACATGGAAGGGAAATTTATCTCAGTATTTTCTAAGCTTTTCAGGTAATCAAATGAAAGTCATTATTCAAGAGGGCTATTAATATGGTGATTATAAATGGTAGTGATAATAATAACCATATACAAATATTAAAGAATGGCAGTCCTATATAAAGCAATTCCTGGTAAATCTATTTTTAAAACATTTTAGTTGGAAAATTATCATAGCCCACAGAACAAAAAACTTTCAAGAGATGTTTTCAGCTCCTTTCCTATCCAATTCTCATTTCCTGTCTACTGGCCTTAGGGGTATAAGCCAAATGAAATTTCAAAAGATCTTGGAAAACCAGAAGCTGTGTGTGTGTGTGTGTGTGTGTGTGTGTGTGTAAGAGAGAGAGAGAGAGAGAGAGAGAGAGAGAGAGAGAGAGAGAGAGGAGAGAGAGAGAGAGAGAGAGAGAGAGAGAGAGAGAGAGAGAGAGAGAATAAGTGAATATGTGTATAGGTGTGTGGTGGGAAGGTGGAAGGCCAAGAAAATAAAAACAGATTAAAAAATGCCTCTTTTTGGTAATCTGCCTATCTCTTGCAAAGGCTCAGACACACACACGCGCATGCACTCTGGCGTTGTGCATTTTGCTGTGATAGCAGAGCCTGATTGATGATGTGCTGTGATGAGGGAATCCAGTGGAAACATTCACTGAAAGAACAGAAGTGGTTTGGGAGACACTAAAGCCATCTTATTATCTGGGCTATCAATAACCAAGCTACTATAAATATCAACACTTAATCCATTACATAGTAAAAAACACGGGGATACTAACTGGGATTCAGCTTGCGTGTAATCCAGTGATTCAGTTCCCTTTGGAGTTGGAGGGTCAGGCTGAAAGAGCGCCACAGAGGGGAGCTGCAAAGTAGTGGAAACGGGTGTGAGCAGCTGTGCTCAGAGGTGGGAGTCAGGGCACAATCAGACGTCACGGCGAGTGCTGCTGTGAGGACCGGACCATACAAAATGAAATCCATGCATTCTGAGATTCTACAGCAATATAGGCAATTGACATTAGAATCTGTGGTTTCCTGTCACTGGGGAATCTAAGAGAAAATGTAAAAAAAAAAAAAAGTTATATTTTTCAACTGTCAGTGGAGCTGACACACAAAGATTTCTCATTCTATTAATATAAATGTGAGGGACAAACATATGTGGGACAGAACAGAAGGCCAGTAATTTGAGAAGATGGGAATAGGTGTGACAAATATGCCCTCAGAACATTGATGGTGACCTATCAGCAAGAGTAGGGCTGGGTAATGAGTTAATGAAAAGAGAATAATGAAAATTGTAGCTTATATTTATAGAGGAATGATTCTGTTTCAGGCACTGTGCTAAAGGCTCCATTCAGTTACCAAATTTGTGCTTCTGAAAGAGGACAGGGTAGATTAATACCTGTCAGTTATTGGTAGCTGCCTTTTGTTACCAACACTGGCAAATTTAGCATCTTTACTATGCATTCCAAGTGACTAATATTAGTAGATTGTCCTCTAGTTATTAGAAAGAATTAAGTCTAAATACTGAAAAAGGATAAATAAAATGCAGATAAATATTTTGAAATGTTTCGGATTTGGAAAGTCCTAATACATTGCTAAGCTTTCAACATTTTCCTTGCCACAGAATGACTCCTCTGAGAACAAAGTAATTGTTGACTTCAAAGAACTCTGAGGAAGTTCAGTGGATGGAAAGAATTTGGCTAGCAACTGGGTGAATCAAATCTAGAGATATTTTTTTTCTATCACTAGTGTATGTGTGTGTGTATGTATGTGTGTGTTTGTAAAGCACTTGAATTTCTACACAACTTAACTCACTACCTCAGGTATTGCTCAATGTTCAAAATGCACTGGAGAATTGCAATGCCCTTCCTATTTGGTAACTATTGCAAAGTTGCCTCTGGGTTGTTCCATACCTGGGCTATACCTGGACAATGTTAGTTGTGGATACCAGTGGTTCCCAAACCTAGTTGGGACTCTGAATTGTATAGGGAGCTTTAAAAGTGTATGTTCTTGAGGTTTACCATAGACTTACTGAATCAGCCTCTCCAGAGTGGAGCTAGCAAATATATATATATATATATGTGTGTGTGTGTTTGTACAAGTGATGTTGACACCAGTCTGAATGTACACATATTCAATTCAGGTTGGCAGTGAATCTTGCTCATCTAAACAACTCAACTGACACTGGTTAAGTGACTGCTACCTGTTGCTACTGATGTTATTCTCTAAATACCAGCAGATCTGGGTAGACTCTCTCAAGGGCTTTACCTCTAATGGATTGACTCCCCCAAGTTCCATTGTGAAATCCTAAGAGATCTTGGCAGACCTGGCCTTGAAATTGCCTGGCTGACGGGACTGATGTACCAAAATGGACTTGGAGAATATTCCTTAATTTCTGCCCTCAGCAAGATGTTGTGACATGGATTTCAAACAAGCAAATCAAACCTGGAAGCCTCCCAAATGCCACGTGAGACATTATAAATAAACTCTTAGTTCTGTTGATTCTTTTTTTAGTTTTCTATGGTTATACAATTCCTAGGTTTTAGAAATCTCCCCACTATAAACTCAGCTTTTCAGTCTACCAAAGCTCTCCATTAGATAGAATTGCATGCAAGCGACAAGGGCACTGCCTGCTGAAAGCCTGAGACAACAGCTGCTTGGACTTTTTAGGGCAGTGTGTGATGCTGGAGGACAACCCACTTCAATTACTAATTTTCCTTTCTTTAAAAGTATTTTAGTAAATCAGTTTCCATCAGCATCTCATATGGTGTATTTGTGAGTTTGGCAGAGTAGAGGAAGGCATTTCAAGATCTCAGCATTCATTCCTTCCCTGGAGAGACGGAGAAATGTACGCTTGCTCTCATCCCTGGGGAAATGGTCCCTTATGAGTTAAAAATGCTTTGCTCTTGGCCAGGGCAGCTTCTGAGACATCACCTTTCACCTCCTAGTCCAATCCCTCCTTTCCTTTTGGGGATTAGCAGTTATGGAAGTTGGGAAGAATGAACACATTGTTGCATTTATTCATAGATCAAGCCACCTCAACGTTTATTTCCCATTGCTATGTACCAAGCACTTTGAAGGATACAAGCTGAATGATGGAGAGAATACATTACATATAATTTCTAATGGAAAGTAGAGAGTGATTTGTAGCATGAAAGAGGAACACAGAAATTGCCACATGAACTTTGTGGTCAGGGCTCACATATCATATAATGGAAGAGAGGTTGCAGGCAGAGGTTCCCTCTCTTCTCCTTTCTATCTCTAGCCCTCCCCCCCCCCCAGCTCTAAAGCATCTGGTGTAACATAACTCCCAAAATGCTCCTAAGGTCTTGTGTGTCAGGAGTCTCTGTTAAAATCCAGAATTTGTGGGGTTCAAGAGGATTGAGGCCTGCTTTGCTGCACAGTGCCTCAGAGTCACTTGGGAAGCTTAGTGAATAGGAAGATTTCTGCCTGTACCAGAGGGAACCAGAGTCACAGTCCTGGGGTGGATCCCTCATGTCATCTCTAGGTACATGTGCAAAATTCTCCCAGGAGTCAGATCAGTGTCTCTCCACAGAGTTGGTCAATTCTTTAAGGACCAGAACCTTCACCTAAACTGATTTTATGTCTCCTGAAGGACCTAATCCATAAGAAAATAGGAAGAAAAGTCACAGCTGAGCACAGAGCACATACTTTATGGCATTTAATGCCCACATTAAACTCCTTCCACAGAAGTAGAGACACACTGAGAAAAAGATCAATTGATTGACCTAAGGTCATAGGTGGTCTGTGGTAGAATGTGGGTATGGACTCAGATCTCCTGACTTCAAGTTCATTGCTATTTCCTTGTTGTCTCACAGCATATATAGTAGTTACTCAATTAATATCTGCCAAATGGAATTGAATCAGAGACAAGTAGTGCTTCCAGAGCACTGGTGAAGAAAGTTGTAATTCTGGCGCCTTTCTCCAGACCTTGGCATTGGGGTGCCTAGGCAATTACTCCACAGTCACAGCTAGATGAAGTCTGCAGCCAAAGGTGGGGGCATTGGCACCTCATCCAGGCTGGCATCGCATATTTTCTCCTTCTCAATTCTGTCATTCTAACAATGACTATACAGAGGTGCAGCATGATGTTGGCAAAGGATGCTTTTCTGGCCCTACCCTTTGAGACAGAGAAAGGGAGAAGCCACCATAAAAACTTCCATTGCTGTTCTTCCAAAGTTGGCTTTATTTGTAATGGTTGCCTGAGCATAGCTTGCACTCCTATTTCTGAATAGGCCACACCATCCATACTCATTATGTGAATAATTAAGGCAGCTGGGAAGTTTGTACCTATAGCCACGGCAGTGTTTTCTATAGTACATATTTATAATGTAGTTCTCCTTCAAGATATTATACATTACATTTATCTTTTATTTGAAGTAATTTCTACTAGTAAAGAATGTTTCCATAATAGTCTATAAATCAATTCTAGAAGAAAGAAAATGAATTGAATATTGGATGGGCTAAGTTGACTAATGTCCACATGAAAATTTTTGGCTTGAGGTATTTAGATGAAAAATATAAATTATTATTATTATTCTCATTAGATATTTTCTGCACTCTGAGATAAAAAATGTTTATAAGATTTATTTCCCCTTCATGGCTCAAAGCCTTTATCTTGATTCATCGGATCTTCTGGCTTTCTTCTTCAATGCTGTGATTCACTGGTTTCCTGTCATTTCACTCCGCAGGGTCTGGTTTTCCCATTGACAGTCTGCCTTATAGTCTCAGCAACAAGAATTAGCCTGAGGTAATTTGGGACTGTTACTGTGGCTCCCTGACTTGTTTGGGTCTACAGGGAGATGGCCATGACCAAACAAAACAACAACCAAAAGGAAAAGCTACCAGGTCCTCCTGTATTTGGACAGCCCAGATGTTATTTACAGCCTTGTTTATGAAGTATTTTCTTGACCCTGCTGGCTAGGATCCACACACTTTGTCCTTTTAGAGCACACACGTCCTGTCACGTGGTGACAATGTGCCCTGAACAAGTAAACAGGCTGGAAGACTATTATAAGGGTAGAAAAATCTTTTAGCATAACATTGTCATTCTCTCACCCTACCTTTGAAAAAGACAAAGGAAAGCATGGAGGAAGAGAACCAAAGACTATGTTATTTTTAGATTTTCTTATAACCATAAGTACTATTGCCATTTTGAAACTCCTACTATGTGCAAAGTGCTATGACTAAAGAAGTTGGACAGTCCAAGAGCCCAAATTTCAAGACCCTCAAGCTGCTATTCTAGGAAGAGGCTGATACTAGTAAACAGTAGACTACCTACAATCTGAAGATACAGTTGCTATAACAGTTGGGGAGGGGTAGCAAATATTCATTCTAAAGTTATTTATAATACTGAGAATATAGGAACTATCACACACCTCAAATTAAGAGATGGATTACCTAAATTATATTCTGCCCTACAACAGAGGGCTGTGCTGCCCTGTTTCCTTCCATCGCCACCAGAAGTTCCCCTGGCCAAACCTCTTCCCCAGCCTCTCACCTCCCATGGCAGGGGACATTCTGTAGTCTGATCCAGTTTTCCATTGTTCGAATCACTTCCCAAACCCCTCAATCATGCTATTGTCAGCAGAATCCTCTATGTCTTCAATGTATGCTCTGAATCTCCTTGTTCTCACTGAAACCTGAATGCTCCCTGAGAATAGCCCCCTGGGCACTCTTAGGAGAAAGTTGTTGTTTTCTCACACCTTGGCTTTCATAGCATCTGTAGGCAGACAGGTACCTACCTTGCTCCTCCCTTGAAATCTCCAGTTCTTTTGATGCTCACATGCTATAAGGAACTGGTTGCTATCCATCCTTATTGAGGTAATTAACTGACAGTCTCGTCATTTTTTCTCACTCACTAAGGATTTTAGCACATGACTCCCTGACTTTCCATCTTCCACCCCTCCTGATATCATTCCTGAGAACTTTTTAACACCCCTATAGATAACTCAGCTAATGTCTTATCCTCAAAGTTCTTCGCTGTCCTCAGTTTTGATGTTCTTTTCCTTTACAACACTCTGCTAATC